TATGTATGTATGTATGTATGCATGTATGTGTGTGTGTTTGTTTGCATTTATTTACTTTTGTAAGTTGTATGCATGTGTGCAGCCCTTTGAGTGGACTGTTGCGAGCATGCCAATGCCTCTGTTTCACTCAACTTTTCCGACCCCTTTGCCTACAAACCTTCCATTTTCTTTGGAGAACAGATATTCATGTGGACTCCTTTGTCCTGATCATAAGTCCGGGCCAGATTTGGGCTAGTGTAGCTCATATTGGACAGTTTTATTGCATTTCAATTGCCCATCCGGCGAGTGTAGCTTCTCTGCAGTCTGGGAGACTGAGGAAGCTATCAATCCCGACAGTAGAGTTGGTACCATGCCTTAAAGCATGACCTTCCAGAAGTGAAGAGAAGCTGGGTTCAAAGAAGCTTATAGACCCAACAAAGTGTCTGCTTGAGGGTCCTTGGACAGATTTTGGCAGTTCTCTCGAGGATTGCCTTGCGAGCAAGTGGATCTCACTATTTGAGTGGCCGGATTGGCCGAATGTAATCACAGACAGGCGTGTATGCATGCAGCTACGTGCACTTAACCGCCTGGCCAGAAGTCTTGGCTTCTTGTTCGGAAGATCTTGTCAAAGAGCATTCCATTAACTGACAGGGTTTTCCACAGGTGGACACTCGAAGCATGAATCGGATGGATTGGGCTTGGAGGACGGGTGCCAAGGGCATCTTCGCTCAAAGCAGCAGTTGCGAATGCAATGCAAGCTTGTTTTCCTGTCCGGCGAGGCCGAGTTTCAAATCAATTCCGTTAAACTTTTTATAGAAAGGGAAGCGAGAACTGAAAATAAATTATTAGGGAATTCCGCCAAACCCAGTTTTATGCAATTATACGTCTTAGGTAAAGTCTTTAAAGGATATATTTTGCAGGTTGGGAAATAAAATAGCCCAATAATTGTTGAAGTGGGTTGACCTCGTAGTCGCAACTTGGTCTTGTTGTCAGGGCGTCTTAGTAAAACGCATCTAGTCCGAAGTCGTCTGCCCTGTTAGTTGTCATGATTCACAACATCTCAAACGTTTGAGAATGTACCAAGTCCACTGTCTGATGCAGTGAATCATGACGACTACCATGGCAGACGACTTCGGACTAGGTGCGTTCTACTAAATCGTCCCGACAACAAGACCAAGTTGCGACTACGAGGTCAACCCACTTCTATATATCGAAAGGAGACTGCGACCATACCAGAGGCCACAACATCTTGGTCTTCATGTATTCAACAATAGTTGAGTTCACGTAACTTTTGCTCGATCAGATCAGAAGATGACGGCGGATTCCTCTCGTCAGCTGTCGGTTAGATCTGCTGCCGAATATTCTTGTTGAGGCTGTCTTCGAAGCAATCGTCTTTTGTTTCGGTGGAACTTGGCTAAACATTAGTCGGCCACATGACGGAGATCATTTATTTTTAACATCATATCAAAACGAACTAATTTAGAAAACTCTCCGGCTATACATGTATGTGCTGTCAACTTGGTCGGAGCGACAGGGATACCATGTGGAACATGTCTAGCACTACGTACTGTACCAGAGTATGCATGATGAATTCCAGCATCAGACGTTTCGCCTGCATCATAGTCACCATCCTAAAATAGAGATACCACTAATACACATACATAAATCACATATATTCTAAATCATAATTGAATAATACATCAATATTTGAGGTAAAGGGTGAATAAAACTCACCTGCTTATCCCTAAAAGCTCTATATATACTCTAAATCTAGCCATTTTGATGAGATATAATGTGATCTGGCTAGTTAGAGTCATATGTCAATCTAAAAGTAATGTATGTGTGCTTGTTTGCCTTCATGTGCATGCATATGTAAGCATTCAGAACTGATATTACAAATTAATTCGAACAGATTGTAACATCTGTCCACAATCCTCAAGTTTTAGTGACCACCATTACCACCCTTTTTCACATTTTAATCTCCACTCCGATTGCCCAATTTCGGACACACGTCTGGGTAGGATGATGAGCTTTTGTCTGTACGTGTGAGGCAGAGTGAACTAAAACGTATAGAAAGTGGGATCACAACAAAACCCCTTGCCACCAGAAGACTGGTTGAGTCGCCTCCATTTTTGAGGCGACCCAACAGTCTGTTCTTAGTATGAGCTGTACTCACTCTATTTTGTTTAAGGTGATTAAGGACTGGTAATTGAATCTGGTCGCAATGATATGAGTCGGCCCCACGTTTTCATTGGAGTTCACATAGCTTTACTTCCCAAACGGTATTCGAATCCAGGCAGGGGTAGATTGCAATTTCGACCTTGCATGGGTCTCATCATCACCCCTGCGGGACTCGAACCGTATACTCTCGACACGTTAATCACTCCGAGTCCCGCTAAAGGCGCTGATGAGACAAAGGCGAGTTCAAAACTGCAATCCACTCTAACCCGGATGAGAATACCTGACGGAAAGCAAGGCTATGCGCTAGTGAATGGAAACGTTATGTCTATACGTATGATTGAGGGAAAAATTCAATTATAAGTGTTGTGTTCACCCTATTTCGTTTAAGGTAACGAAGGAGTAGTAGTTGAATTTTCCCATATGTGTAGAGCTGATGTTTTTCTGTGAAGTTCACTTCGCCTTGCTTTCCAAAATGGTAGTCTATGGGTTGTTTAAAAACCTACTCTCTCACGAAAAAA